CAATTCAAATTGATAAATAAAATGAGTCACTCGTAAAATCGATTTATTTATGCCATCATCTTTTTTTATTCATATAAAAATATGTTTTTCGTTAATATTAGTGATTTAATTTAACTCGAGTTCGACTAGACTCGATTTTCTAGCTTGGGTATTAAGAGTCTAAACTCTAAGGCTCCGTTTGGATTGAGTGATTTGGACATGTGGATTTCAAATTCTTAGGCTCAAATTCTTGGGCTTGTTTGGATAACAATAAAAAATTAATGATTTGAAATCCATAGAAAAAACCAGTTATTTTTACTCAGCATTTCAAAGATTTTAAATTACCCAAAAAAGGAGTCATTTCAATTCTCGGCAAAGTCACAATAAACCCTCTGAGAACAAAATACACAAAACTTATGCAATAACCAGCGGATAATATGGTGAAGAGCTTTATTATTATCTTTACTGAAAATACACGTGACACAGGGAATTAATTAATAAAGAGAAATAAAAATACCTGTATTTTTATATTAGAAAAAATATTGGTGTGGAAATACATGGTGAAGATATTTTGATACATAATAATAAAAAAGGCTGTAATTTAACTAAAATTTTTTAGAATACATGGTAATTAAAGATATTTAATTTTTTTATGGTATAAATTTATGTAAATATTAGTTATCAATATCTCAATCTCCATTATCAGTTAATTAAACCTTGTAAATTTGTCACCAGGAATCCAAAGACAACACCCTAATACTGTTTAGGCCATCAATTAATGCACCCTTTTTTCCTCGCTCTCTCGGCAAAGTCACACAAAATGGCCAATCCATGGAAAAGGCCAATTATTTTTAATCAAACATATTTTATCTATCGATCCACATCTTCGCTCCCTCGGCAAAGTCACAATAAGCCTTCTGAACTCAAACCGAGCTTGGACTGTTCGAGCTCGTGTTCGTTTACGTTCGAACAACGTTCTTGTTCGTTCGTTTATTTTTCGAGCAAAAAATGTGTTCGAGTTCGTTCGTTTAATTGTTCGTCAAAGTTCGAGTTCGAATAATTTAATATATAAACTTTTAAAATATGTTTGATTAACTCGAAATTTATTCGTTCGAACTCGAAAATAAAATAATAAAATAAAAATATTTTATATTTTACATTTTTTATTGAAAATACTATGTAAATATATAAAAAATAAATACAATTATGTTAAATTACATATTTTTAATAAAAATATTATATAAATATATAAAAATATTATATTAAATTATTGTTCGCGAACATAATCGAACGTTCACGAACGAGCTCGTGTTCGTTCAATTATTAAACGAGCCTAATTTTCTTTTCGAACTCGACTCGATTAATAAATGAACGAGCTTTTGTCGAATACGAACGAGTTTTTCTTCGCGAACGCTCGATTCTTTTACAACTCTAGGTATGGTATTTGTGAGATTTTTATTTTATATATAATTATCCTGAAAATATGTAATAATAATGAACTTTGAGAAAATGGTTTGCCAAACAATGATTTTGAAATTCATAGATTTGAAATTCTTTCAACAAATCCACCTTAATCCAAACAAGGTAATTCAAGATAACGAATTTGAAATCCAATAAATTTGAGATCCTTTCATTTGAAATCCTTTGAGATTTCAAATCACCCAATCCAAACAGAGCCTAAAGTTAAACTCTTTCACCCCCATACTTACTGTATATGACTGTTCTAAAAGTCGGCCTAGGCGGCGCCTAGGCGCTAGGCGGTGCCCGGGCGCTTCCGATTTGCACAAATCCGCCAAAAAAATCGGCCAGGCG